GGGAGTTGAAGTCCACTCATCTTAAAGTGGCCAAGTTTGGACAACACTGGCATAAACAAAAGCTACCCAGTAGAAGTAAAAATTGTATCAATCACAGAATGCATTATGCATGGGAAATGGAAGAGAAAAAATAAAACCTAGCCAAACATTCCCTCAGATATTAGTTTGGTATATTGAGGGAAAACACTCTTATGTATTTTTTCCTTTTCCGTAGAAAGAATTCTTTAGAAAATGTCAGAGTTTCCTTTCTAGTGAATGAACTAGCTTATTGGAAAAGCCTGACAGAAAGACAAACAAGAGAAAGAGTTCATTCTATATACTGGTGGCTCAGACATAGCAATCAGGCTGAAAAATAACCCCTGAAACAAAATGTCACTTTGTCAAAGCTGTCTATGTTTGAATGCAGATGGCCTCATCCCAGTTTCCAGTAAAAGTTAGTTAAGAGACAAACCTGTAAATTGTGTGTGTGTTCAGGACAATAATACGTAACAGTACCATTTCAGTTTCTGTGGTAGGTGAAAAATTCACAAGAAATAAATGGTGCGCATAAACCTACATGCTTAAACTGATGCCTCCTGGATGTATGAAACTTCAGCTACCATAATCTCCCTCTCATTGGGGAAGGCTGGTGCAAGATTTCAGCAATTAGGATTGAGTAGTAATAACTACTATAAAACAATAAACTATAAGTGACATGCAGGAAATTTAAGTTTGCCTTATAATCAGAATATTCACCTATGGAGCTGAAATTGTTTAATCTTTCATTCACTTTAGGAAAAAAAATACAAAAATAGATGATTCAAAGATGAACTTTATAACAGCTTCCTGTTCATCATATCATCATAACATCATCATCATCATCCATGTTTCCTCCAATGCCATGCATGGTCATCACAATTAAAGGAAATAGAGTGGGCTGTGTTCTTAGTCATCCATTGAAAATGCCTATTTATGAAAAAAACTGTCCATGAACCAGTAAATATACGCACACTAAATGTTTGAAAGGAAAATCAAGCAATGGTTTGTGACTTCCATTTATAAGTATATTATAATGCTCCATATTGACAAATTAATGTTCACAATTATCAATTAGTTAATTAATTACCAATTCTGATCATTAGCCGTCTAAGTGTCAATGCTACATAATGCACCATTAGCCTGGACAGCACTATTAGCCAGTTATTAATAGATTGGAAGCATTTACAAGCCATTACTAATATAAGAATTGTTACTGAATAATATTATTATTCAACTATATTATTGAATACAGTAAAGTATTGGGAAAATGCTAATATTTGATTTCCAGGGCTTACAAGTCTATAACAAAACTTGTGATGACAAAACTAGAATTTTGGTCAAATGGCTACTTCCATAAGAAGATTCACATCCTGATTCACTGTAGGCAGTCTTTCCTAATTTGGTGTCCTCCAGATGTATCAGAACTTCAGCTTCCAGCCTTCCCAATCAATGATTTCAAAATATAAATTATGTCCGTCCTGCAGAGGAGTAATGCTATTTCTCAGTCAGATATGGTAACTCAAATGACAATAATGATCAAAACTGATCGAGTTTCCCTAATGCTGGTCTCAAGTACAGTGTGTACCATGAATGGAGATAAGGGATAGCTAACCTGCATTTTATTATCACAAGCCGAAATGAATTACTTACACAATTGTACGTTATTTGCTTTTCTGCTTAACTATCACCCACTAGGTGGCTCATATGCTACAAAAGTAAACTCCCATAGGAGTTTATTTCAGCAGATGTTAAGCATAATTCTTGAAAAGCTTTCAGTTTATATAAAATGCATACATTCCACCACGTATCAGATCCCTCTAAATATTACTTTAACACAGACTTTTAATGACTAGTGTTATTGGACATTTCAGCATGGGATTTTGGCATCATATCTGCCTCTGCACTGCATCCTTGTGTTTACATGTAATTGCCTACTGGCTACTAGGACAGCTCAAACTGCAAAACTTTCATTTCAAGATTTGCAAGACAGAAATTTTGTGGGGCTTGCAGACAGGCCATTGTCCCATTTCTGGAACTCTTGCTTTACCTAGCATTCTGCTGCTTGAACACACAACTCCTATCAACCAACTGGATTTAACACTTTCTAGTCAATGTCCTATCAGTTTCATAATTCTTGCCCCCCCCCAGCTTAATTTTCCTGAAGAAATATGCATTGTGACATCACCATGCAAAAACATACTTGCATCACAATGTCACATACAAGTATATAATGGATGGATTATTTCACAATCTGATACTGCACATTTCATCACTTACCTTCCTTGCTCTCTTGCCCAGATGTCTATGCTTTCCAGCCATTGGGCTCAAATGAGCCATTACTCTCTTTCCCCTTCCCTCGTACACACATAGAGAAGCTCTACGCTGTTCCTATAGCTATGGATGCAGCTATTGGGAAAGGTGCCTGGCTGCAAAATTATGGTGTTAAAAAAAGTTATAGAAATTAATTTTAATTAATTAAAATTAATTTAAAATAACCAATATGGTGTAGCAGTTAAGGCTCCAGGCTAGAAAACAGGAGACTCTGAGTTCTAGTCCCTCCTTAGGCATGAAAGCTGGCTGGGTGACTTTGGGCCAGCCGCTCTCTGTCAGCCCAACTCACCTCACAGGGTTGTTGTTGTGAGGAAAATAGGAGGAGGAAGGAGTGTTAGGTATGTTCACCACCTTCAGTTATTTATAAAAATAATAAAGGCAAGATAAAACAAATCTAAAAAAAACCCCACTGTATAGCTGGTATGTAAATAAGCGTGTGCAATGAAATATGATGCTGGAGTCCCTTGGACAACTTATACACTTAAAAAACTGGAATGTATGAACTTTTAGGAACAAGGCATTGTCAAAATATGGAACCAGATGTGTCATGATGAACTGAAATGCATGTGGTTTTCCACTGCAGAAAGTAAAGGTAGTCTACAATTTACAACCATTTGTTTAACGACCAATCAAAGTTACCATGGTGCTGAAGAAAGTGACTTATGACCAGTCTTTGCACTTATGAGTATCGCAGTGTCCCTGCAATCACATGATCAAAATTTGGGCACTTGGCAACCAGCATGTATTTACGACAGTTGCAGCATCCTGGGGTCACATTATCATCATTTTCAACCTTCCCAGGGGGCTTCCTACAAGCAAAGTCAATGGGGGAAGCCAGATTCACCTAACAACCATATGATTTGCTTAACGACCACAGCAAAAAAGGTCATAAAATAGGGCACAACTCACTTAACAACCACATCGCTTAGTGATGGAAGTTCCAGTCCCAATTGTGATTGTAAGTCAAGGACTACCTGTAAGCAAACTGGACCTATTGTTTTAAAGGTAGCTGGAAGTAAAAAGGTAAAATCACTTTTTAATTTCCCATGTTGGAACTTCTGAAGCAAGAAATTCTCCCCAAAACTTTTTTTTCTTGTAGCAAAACAAAACATGCCTCCCTTGCCATTTTAACCCCCATGTCTACTTACACACAAATGGACCTCATCGAGTTCCAAGCATATCACTTCAGTGGTGTTAGTCAGCTTCTTGATTTTCACACATGTGATGTTGAGCTAGAAAAAGAAAGGATGGAAGAGTGTATCATTGCACTTCCCTTTGCTTAATGTCATTTGTCTATTTTATTTGCTAATTGCATTTCTGTGAAATTATCAATTAATCTATATGTGCCTCCTGAATGATTCACAGAATAAATGACATTGCTAAAATGTGACATAAAAGAAGCACAAATAAGCTTTTCTTCTTGTGGAAAAAAATAAATCCAAAAGTATAACAGAAATGATTAAAGAGATCTTTTTAAAATTACAGGTAATTTAAAAACCTAGGTGTATTAAACAAATAAACTATCAGCTTGGTGTAGAAATCACCATAAAGAAGGTGTCAGGCAACTGTCTCTGAGGAGGTTATTCTATAATAGAGGTGCCAACATCAAGAAGACTGTTCCTGAAGTACTACCTCACCTCACATGGTGGGGAGCCACTGAGCCATACCTATGAAGAGAATCACAAGGTTTGGGCTGGCAGCCATATATGGGAGATAATTATCTAGAAATATTCTCATGGTTCTGTAATGTTAGAAAACTTTCTGCCCTGTTCTGGAAGGGGACATAATTCAAAAACTTCATATGCTTCCATCAGGCAAATAGCACTACATGGCTGATAAGACCATCGGTGAATACAGGGTGACCTGAAATGGAGATGTCAGACCAAAGAAATCTGCTGAACTTAAATTTTATCCATTAGAAATCATAGGTGAGCTTCCTCAAAGGCAATCAAACTTATCTGATATATAAAAGAAGGGCCAGTAGCATGGAATATGTTACTTTAGCATCAGTTTCTTTTGTCTTAGCAACATCTGGCTTTGTAATTATAATACCAAGGGCAGAGTCAATATTAATTCAGACTAAGGCCAATGTTTATGCAATAACAATTGTTATTGCACTGAATTAACTTTATCTGTATCCAGAGACATTTTCATGTAGTAAGATGAGACTATTTGATTATTCACATTTTCTGAATAGGAAATACTGTAGTGGCAAAGCAGCAGCTAGTAAGGTAATCAATTAGAACATGACATTGTTGAATCAGTGTCTAAATGACAAATGCTATCAAAAAACCTGCATGTGAGAAAGCACATGGGAGGAGGACACCACAGCTGGGAGTTGTAAAATTTATGTTCCCTCTTCCCCAGCACATTTATGCTTCAGGCAGTCTGCCAGGAGCTTCCTATGCTGAGGAAAAAACTTGTATAAAGACATTCATTCTCATGCACCCTCTTCCCCAATAAATTGAATTAAGAACAATAGCTTAGGGAAGATTTAAAGAAGTAAATGGGCATCTATGAGAACCATCCAGGAGGCTGAAGATTATGGGTTGGCAACTTTGCAAAAGTAACTAAAATAGCATGTTGATTAATTCATGAGAACTGATTAATATATCAATCATTGATTTACAATAAAGGTCCCAATAAAGGGAACTCATCATCCTTCTTATTACAACCAATCTAACAATCCTAAATTTCCACAATCTTACCATCACATTGCCGTTCTCAGTCATGGCTGTGCTAAGAAAGGCGGTGGAATAGGTTGTTGTCTTAAAATGATCACTTGTCAGAAGTGGTATTGAAGTTGCATTTTGAGTTGTCTCATTGCCAGGAATCCATTTTTTTGTAGTAAATGACTCTGCTGTTGTATCTGTTGAAGTTAAATTTGCTGTGGGTGTGCTTTGGACAAATATCATTTTATTTTGCGTGGTAGTATCCCTTACAGTGACTGGAAAAAAAAAATAAAGGAGAAAGGGAGAATATAAAAGCACTGTGAATGTCTGATACATTCTAGAACTAAACTCCATCACTGCAGTCACTAGACTGCATTAAGAACAGCCCATCTAGAATGAATTGATTGATTAAGTCACCAAGTCATCAAGTCATTTTCGAGTTCAAGTGACCTAAGACTACTTATTCTAGGAAATCAAAGTAATAAGACAATTTTAGGTTCCTGAAGCATGGATGCTCCCTCCAAGGATGATTAGTTTTCACATGTAATATGCTCACTATTCTAAATATACATAAACTTTATTTTTCTTCAAGTTTTGAAGTTAAGGACTGACCTAGATGTGGCTTTAAGAAAGTTGTGATTAGCTGTCCATTATTTCTAATTCAGAGAAATTCTGCGAAGACCAGAGTGTTCCCCTATAAGGCAAATAGCAGTTTGGGGCAGGAAGGAGAAGGAAATTTAAAGCTAAACAAAATTACTTCTCCAATAGTTGTTTTACAATAACAACATAGGCATGTATGGAAAATCCCATGCCCTTTGATTCTAATGCCCATTTAAATGAGGTATTCTATATGTTGATAATTATCAGCAAAGAATGGCTAAAAAAGAAGGAGCTATCAGATAGATCACAGGACTAATAGTTCTTGTGCTATAAGTTTTAAATGAAATTGCAGCTGTCTTTTTCACACTATTGTAGTTACTCATTTGTGTTTGTGTATATATCACATCCTCCCCGATTACATCCGCACTAGTGAAAGAGAATAGCTAGAAGAATGTCCAATTGGTTTATGTGGACATTCAGAAAAAATGAAGCTCTCCAATGATTCAGAACAACTTCAAAAACCTAAGTCTGTTACTCCCAAAGCACATTAGTGAACAATTGCACAACTGTTTCCCATGAAATGTAAGAACAAAACCCAGAATATTTAACATTTGTTATGGATTGGAGAGAAAGAAGTTACTAAATTGATAATAGTCAGATAGCAGAGGGGGGAAGGGAGGAATAATAATAATAATAATAATAATAATAATAATAATAATAATGCCAAATGAAGAATAGAAAAGAGACATGGCAAGGCAAAATATTACATGGCCAGTATACACACACACACACACACACACAAACTAGCAGGCAAAGCAGATAGCAAGACCTGGCAATGGCTAAGAGCAGGAAAGTTGAAGAAAGAGACAGAGGGGCTAATTCTGGCTGCACAAGACCAAGCCTTAAGAACAAATGCACACTAAGCCAGAACTGAGAAGACAGCAACAGACAGCAAATACCTCCTCTGCAAAGAAGCTGAAGAAACAATGGACCACCTAGTTAGCTGCTGCAAGAAGATCGCACAGACTGACCACAAACAATGGCATGACAAAATAGCAGCAATGGTGCATTGGAATATCTGCAAGAAATACCATCTGCCTGCAAGCAGGGACTGGTGGGATCACAAAACAAAGTAATAGAAAATGAAGATGCTAAAGTGCTCTGGGACTTTAGAATTCAAACAGACAAGAACCTGCCACACAACATCCCAGACTTTACAATTGTTGAGAAGAAAGACAAAAAAGATAGTGGACATTGCAATAGCTAGAGACAACAGAATAAAAGAGAAAGAAAAGGAGAAAATCACAAAATATAAAGACTTGCAAATAGGAGTAGAACGACTATGGCAAAAGAAAGCAAAGATAGTACCAATAGTTATAGGCACTTTA